AAAAAAAAAAAAACGAACGGATAACGGGAAACGCGACTCGCGTCCCGCGTGACGAGTGTCTCCGGTCGGTCGTCCGCGTTCGTCCGCTAACCCCGTCCGTCGCGTCGGCCGTCGTCACCGCGTCCGAGCGCGCCCAGCGAAACAGTTCCGTTCGCACCCGGTCCCCGTCACCGCCGTCGAACGTTTCACACCGCGATGGCCGTCCGGTTACCGCCGTAGGCCCTTGCCCGCGCCGCCGACCCGCCTCGGTCTTATCGGCCCCACGGTACGGCACACACTCGCGCGTCCCGCCCGCCCCGCACGATGCCGCTCGCCACCGCCGCGCCGGTGCCGTCTTCCGGTCCGTAACGCGACCATGTCCGCCGCGTCTCTGCACAACGCCCGAACGATATACCATGTCGCCGAGCCGGTGCGCTCCGAAGATAACCGCTCGCACGTACGTCGCAATCGTAGCCGCAGCCGTCGCCTGGCGCGTTCCGAGTGAGTACACCCAACAGTACGTGATCATAGCCGACGGTTCGTTAACGGACCGCGGGCTCGAGAGTATCGAGAATAAACGAAAACCGTAAATGGAATGCAAACGAAACGAACGTTTCTCGGCCAAAACCCCCGGGAACAAATCATAAACCTTTTTAAGTAGTACACGTACCTGTATACCTGCGGTGTAGAGGTGCGAGACGATCGCGTAAACTGCTTTCCCCGTCAGGTCCTCCGTTTTTAACGGATCGTCATTGGTTTGTATCGTTGATTTTCGTTAGTGCGGCCCAGACATGTCAAACTCAAAGTATCAACTGACCCAAGTATATCGCATGGTTCACTACTACTAATTTAACGAGGAAAAAATAACTTTATATTATTATACGTGCATACGCATAAACCCGTCGACGAGACTTACTCGGTTACGGTTTATCAGAATGTTATACATAACAATGTACTCCGAATACAGTTCTCGAAGAATCTAAGATGGCTGTCACGTGACATTAATGTTTTATAATTTTTTTTTATTTTTTTATTTATTTTTTATCTGGTCCATTAATATTTGTGGTCGCTGGTCACAGAAAAAATTCGGAGCATCCGAGTTGGGTCCCCGAATTTTTATAGGTACTACACTAGTTTGTGAATACTCTTTAGTAAGTACTACATTATACCAATATTTTCCTTCCCATTTTAACAGACTTAAGACTGTCTATGATCTATTTAGGCCACGGGTATGGTTAAAAATGTTTTTTATATATATATCTTTTTTTGTTTTTAGTTTCTTTTCCATTAAAATATAAATTATTAGAATTGTGTTGGTAAAAATATGAAAAAAATTAAAAATCAAGTATAAAAATACATATTATATAATACACTTATAGTCATATAGGTAAATGAAAAAATATTGAAAATATTAAAATCATTATATAATACAAATAAAAATTAACGAAAAAAAAAAAACAAACTATAATTTCATTTTTAACCATACCTGTGATCTAAATAGATCATAGACAGTCCTAAGTCAATTAAAATGGAAAAAATAATGTTTGTATAATATAGTACTTACCAAAAAATATTCAGGAACTAATGTATACCTAAAATAATTCAGGACCCAACTAGTGTAGTAATTTTAAATTCGGGACCCAATTCGGATGCAGCCAAAAAATTAACCGCGAGCCGTGCGTTTGACGTGCTCGGTGTAGCCGTTAGGTGTCCATAACTAATTGAGATTAAATACTTTGCTCCCCGGACGGTGGTTATGATAATGTTGTTATACTCGATGAATATATTGTACTCAGTGCGTTCGCCGACTGTCATCGATGCTGCCCCGGCGTTTCGGTTGTTTACGGAACTATAGCGTTGGCCGGTCGTCGGTCACATCAGCGTATTGTTCCACAACAATCGAAAGACGACCGTTTACACCACCGGCCGGTGGGTATAATTAAAATAATCTGTTCATCGATGGTCCACTGTGCCGGGTCAACGATTTGTTCTCGGGGTGCAAGAATGTTTTTTAGGCCTGAACGAGTTACCTGGATAACCGTAACCATCGTGTTAACGAAATTGCGATTCGTGTAAATCCATATTTGATTTACCTGCGGATAAGGCGTAACGCTGAACACGACGGTGAAGACATAAATCGTCAGGATTATTCTAGGACATTGATAGTGTCATTATTCGACCACGTAGGGGCGGGCCCGGGGCGCAAGACACGACACAAGCACTCCTTGCCAGTTCGGCCCCATGTATACGTATTGTATATTCGTTCGTATAAGTAGGTTGGACACCGACAATGCACGATGACATGATTACTAATGACCAACGCAAGGCATAATATACATATTAATACATATCAGCAGTACAAGTTGGACATACAATACATACTTGAGTCAAAAATGTTATGTGTATATGAGTATGCATACGGTATAGAAATAATAGAACAAAGTAAACAATTAATAATGGTGTTCTGTGAATGTGTATGCAAATGTTTTGAAATTTATGGCTTTCCGCAGGCTTTACGATATCATAACTTATAATGAACATTTTTATCGTAAATATTGTCGGCTGGATAGTTATATTCATCAACAATTTTAACGTTTATAATTACTCGGGTGTTAATAATTACGTGCGGGGTTCTGTGCTGAAAATCGCAAGAATATTTTTTACAAAATTAAAAGAAAAATTAAAAAAAAAAAGGGTTGGTTAGGTGATGCGGTTTTTCGGTTAGGGCGGATTCCTTATTTTACCCTCTTTAAATCACGCCTTTGGTTATATGTACCATGAAGGCGTTTGTTTTTACGTGAGAAGCCTTATATCATCGTTGGCGAGTTGTAATTTAATTACAAACCCGTTACCATACGACAAGAATTTAGGCGGACTCGCATACATCTAAAACAGAGACGGAGTTAAATGAAATGGATAGAGATTAATGAATTTTGATATATATATATATATTTATACACCGTTTTTCAACCGTATAGATATTGCGATACTTTAATCAAATCGATATTCAATTTTTTTCAATCGTATCATTACTTCCGTCGAAGTGAGACATGTGTATTTCCTTACCAAACTTTAATGTAGATCTCCGGAGCTGAAACGATTTTAAACAGTTTTTATATAATACTTATCTCGATTGATAGCAATACATGGTTTTTAGAGTTCGATTACAACGGCTAAATAGATATTAATTTAGTTTTACTAATTATTCAGGTGCGTCGTACGGATTTTCATGATTTCTAATGTTTTGTTAAAACGTATTATTCAAACGTACGTATATTTTTTTTTAAATTAAGCTCAATGTATTTTCATTAATTACCAATATATATGTATGTGAAACTTTGCATTAAATTATCATGTCGTTTTGTCAAGCCAAAATTATTTTACCGACAATTTTGAAAAAAGCTAAGAAAACGTAAAAATTTTAATTTTCTATAAATAGTTGAAAATTTTTTTTTTGAATTATGATAAAAACGAAATTAAATTTTAACGAGAATTGGTAAGGGGTAAAATTTAACGGTTTTACAATTTTTCGTCAGTTTATCGCAATTTAGAAAACTATTAGGTATTCAAAAAAATATCACTGATATTTGATATTGATGATTATCAACCAAAATCCATTTCTTAACTTTTATTTTTTATTTGGTTATGATCGGAACAATTCTTTTCGTCGAAATCGTGTACGCGGACACAAAGAAAAAAAAATTCAATGCATTTCTCATTTTACTTAAAATCGAAAACATTGATAAATATTAAATGTTTATTGTTTTAGTAAGCTACTTTCATATAAGAATATTATTATTTTGAATGATGTATGTATTTTTTATTAAGTACTTAAGTTTTGAAAAAAATAACTTATTCTTTTAATGTTTTTAAGTACAAATTTATTCTAGGGTTACATATTTATATTATGTATATTTGGTTATAAATAATTCGGTATAGATCCTAAAAAAACGTAAGGTTTATTTACAAAATATTAATGTATCTATCTCTTACGGTTTGAGAAACCTCAAAAAAATAAATGTTGAAAATTGCATAATGTATTTAATGTTATACAAAGTTCTAATATTGAACTTTAAACCAAGTTCACGAACAAAATATTGCATAATTAAAAAAAAAGAACAATAATATTTTTTAAGGAAAATAACTTTTGGACTCCGTACTTCGACTTTTCACCATTAACTTAGATGAACTATGAAGAAGTAAACGGGTCATATAAAATAGTATGTTAGGATATAAATAATATCTGTTTTATGTTATATTATAACAATTAAATTTGCGTATTTCTTATACATTAGGTGAAAAGCGATAACAAAGTCAAAACACGTATTGCGATACTTCACCGTACTTTGCTATTTAACTATATTAAAATTTCAAATTTCGGACATTTTAAAATGACCAAAAACCATTCTGAAATTAACTTGAATGCTGTAGCGCAATTTTGCGTGAAATAAAATAATGTACAGAACCCATTCTGAAAAGTAATTTTCATAAATGCTCCGAGATTTGGCGTTCTAATAAAAATGCACTTAGATATAATCGAAAAGCAAACTGATATCGGTTTTTTATATATCGTTTTTCTGTGTCGAATTTCTTAGTATTATTGATCAAAATTCAGGATCGTGCTTTCGCATCACCTCGATGTCTACATAAATTTGATTATACATTTATAAATGTTACTAGAAAAAATTACAATAGCCGTATTTGGAGATAATTCCATATATAATAAATAATACATATATATACGTCATAATATTTAGTGTTTTTATCGGTACAACTTTTTTTCCCGCCAAAAAAGTTTGATCGTTGAATATTTTATAAGTTATTCCATTTAAAAATGAAAAAGCCAAGGTAACGGAATAATCCGTAAAATGACCAAATAGTATGATAAATTAATATACAGCGTGTAAACTCTTATTGAGAATACTCAATATCTTTGTGTAAAGATAGCTCTGCATATTAAATTATGTTTTTTTTGTTTGTCGTTATTACATAAAAATACATATTTTTATGACTTTTCAATTTTTTATTGCCAATGAAAAAATAGCTGCAACAAATAAAAACCTGATGTGGTATGCCAAATCATGTTTTGTCCATGGCGGACAACAATTTGAACAACTTACACGTTTATTGAAAATTAACAGTAGTTAAAATTATAATAATGTATAAATATTACCTTAATAAATAAGGGGCGAAAATGTCAACATTTCTTTGTTGTTTATTTGTTAAATTGCTGTAATCTGGCCAATTTTGGACTTAGAAAGTTCATTAAACTAACAAAATTTGTTAAAAATTAGGCAAAAAATAATTATTTGTTAAAATGGGAGGGTCACAATTTAAAAAGAAAAGTTGTAATATGCACGCGCTCATCTAATTAAGATTAAGAAATTCAAAGGTTATACAAATGTGTATTTTATTTTATGTAATAAAAAAATAAAAATAAAAGAATCCAAATTGCAAAACTCTACGCAAAGATATTGAGTGTTTTTAATTGGTGTTTAGAT